TCAAAGAGGTGGTAGTTTTTATGTTGTATGGCAGGAAATTGTACAATTTAGGTCCATAAAAAAATATATATCGTTGTGTGTGTGCTTTCCGGTAAATTGGTAATATCATAGACTTGTTTTCAGCGAATCGGGTTTGCTTAGTTTTGGGAGTGATATATTTTTGTTTATTATGAAACATCCAAATCAGAGACCGATAAATATATAATCCACTTGTATCAAGTGTTTCAACATCCCTATAGAGCTGATCGGTGGAATGAAGTTTTTTTTTTTTGAATATTATTTTCAATAAGGAATTCTGGGTTGATTGCAGTTTACTCAAGGACTTTTCATACAGACCTCCCCACACTGTTATGCAGTACCTAATGACCGATTCAACCAGGGAGTTGTATAATATTAAAAGATTTTTTTTATTCAGGATATCTCTGATACTATAAAATTTATGGATAAGTTGTCTGAGCCTCTTTGTTACATGTGTCACGTAATCATCCCATCGTAGATGCTGATCTAGTATAATGCCGAGATATTTCATATTTGATGTTTTTTCTACAGTTGGGCAAGTGCACTTGTTTTTGTCATTACAATCGTGTATTGTTAGATGGTTAAAGAGAGGTTGTTCGGATTTATAGATCGAAAACGATAGAAATTTTGTTTTACTCACGTTGAGACTTGAAAGATTATAATTGAGCCATATTTGTAGATCTCGTAGATCATTTTCTGAGTCAGCTTTTAATTGTTGCCACGAGTCTCCCCTATATAATAAAGCTGTATCGTCAGCATATGATATTATATTTCCTTTGAAATTTTTTATTGAAGTTATACTATTGATGTATACGAGGAAGAGTACCGGGCCCAATACTGTTCCTTGCGGAACTCCAATTTTGATATCAATTGGTTTACTGGGACAGTCTTCAATTTTTACGATTTGCGATCTCTGCGATAAATAATCTCTCATCAAATTAAGTACAATACCTCTAACTCCATAATTCTCTAATTTTTTTAGCAACAAATAATGTGATACAGTATCACAGTATTGCATGAGAGAATATTGTTGATGGAGACACCGAGCATTGATATAGTTGAGTGAAGTAGAAAAAACACTAGGAATGGTTTCCGACATGTTGGCTACTCAGACACACGTGAAAACGTTTTTCAAAGCCTTTTTTCTGGAGAGAGACAAGTGGGTGAGTGAATATCAGTCCAATTCCCTGAGACCGAACACGTAATGTACACAGATGGTTCGAAAACTCCTCTCGGAGTTGGAGCCGGTGTGTTAAGAACAAAAACAGAGACGGAAATCTGTCAATCTCGGTTAGTATATGCTACAATCCTCCAGGCGGAGGTCTTCGCCATTGGATTTCGTGCTAGAGAGTGGACGAATAGACCTCTAGTGAACAAAAACATCAGTAATGTATCAGGCAGTCAGGCTGCTCTTGAAGTATTGAGCTCCAGCAAAATGAAATCGAAGCTTGGATGGAGGTATATTGAATCCTCAGAACGCCTGGTGGCAAACAACAGACTTACTTTGTTGTGGGTGCCTGATAGACACCAGGGGGTCAAGGGCAATGAGATATTCGTCCCCGCCACACAAGGAACCAAATCTGTATTTGTAGGACCAGAACAATACTTTGGAATAACCGGCAGTGCGGCCAAAACAACTATCTCCGACTGGGCGAAGGGGCCTAAACGATCGAAAAATATAACCAGGCAGATAGAATGAAGCAGAGTGACCTGCGTATTCTGACAGTACCGCCCACGGGACATTGTGGTCTAAGATATCACCCGGGAAGGATGGGTCTGAACCAACAAACGAACTGTCGGTCCTGCTGTGTGGAGGACGAAACGGTTGAACACATATTATGTTCATACTCTTGCTCAAGAGACTGAAGTTCGACATATTTTTCTTCACCAATTCGGAACCTATCGATTTCAGACAAATCTCACCCAATTTGATCATGGATTTTGTGAAAGGACGTGAATTGTACAGAGAACTGTAACCTCTATGGGTCAGCCACAATAGACCCATCTGAGGTCGCTGTGAAGGGACGATATTGGCCCCACTCACATGGAACCTAACCTAACCTGACTCAATTGACTTGGTGGGAATGTTGGTATCAGACATTGTTATATCAGGCAGTTTCGCGGTTATAGAAATAATACGGGCTTGAATTTCCGTGGCGTTGAACCAACTACGTTGTTGGTTTTCCAGGCTGTGATTTTAGCATCATCTCCATCGACAGCTATTGAAGAGAACCCAGTATGGAGGGTACTGTCATCTGCAAACCTATGAATATGGCAAGTGGTTGCTCTCAACAGATCATTGATATAGAGTGGAAACAATGTTGGTGACAAAGCGATACCTGTAGAACGCTGGAATTGATGACAATGGTATCAGACGATACACCGTCCACCACCACGTAGAGTGATCTGCCTAAAAAAGAAATTATGGAGAGATGAGAGATGGCACAGCTGAGGTGGTTAGCCGGATGATGGTAGCGTGTGAAGAAGTCTTTGGTGCTAAACACGGTCGAATGCTCTTGATATGTCTAACGCCACAGCTGAAGATTCCCCATGTTTCTTTGATGAAGCTTGCCATTTATTGAATGCTTTAGCTGGATTCCTAGCCTCGCTAATGAATGACGTAGGCAAATAGATCTCCTGTGGATCTTCGGTGGTGAAAGCCATATATTGTTCATCATTGATGATTTCAGAGCTTCCTAGATATTCGATATGCTCGATGTTGATGAAAACAGGGCAATAGTTCTGTAGCTGTTGGGCAGGTTTTTGTTCCTTCTTTGGCATTGGTCGGACTCTAGCTATCTCCCAGCAAGGTGGAAAAATACCGACTTCGTATGAGATGGTGAATAATTTGCAGAGAATACCAATGAATTTTGCTTTCCCTTTTCTCGAGAATGATGGATGGAATTCTATCAGGACCATTAGCCTCATTCGTTTTGAGACTTTGCGAAATGCGTGACGGAAGACGATTTTGGGCCTTCGACTTCCAACGGATGGATTATTGGGTAGCACTGTTCTTCGAGAATATAAAGTTGAATTTGCTGCGCACATCTCGGCGAACATATTTGCTTCATCCTGCGATATTGTTGCTCAAGTGCCGTCAGCTGTAGAGAGTCGTGGAAATGAATTATTCGTGAAGTTCTTTCTATTTGCTTCAGAGAGGGACCAATACTAACTGGATTCATTCGGCCAACCTATGAGTTTCGATCTCATTGTGGCATTATATTGTTAGGGTTACTCATCAGGGTAAAAAGGTATCAAACCACGACCTTATCGTTTGGCTCGGCGGATACGACTGCCCCTCTGATTGATTTCCCTACTTCCTGAGTTAACTATGATTATTGATGATCAATGCAGTATCAGCGAGTAATTACAATGCCTGCAGGGAATGAACTCGCATAGCTGAGACCACATATCAGAAATGGAAGCAAAATATGAATCTAACAGAAAATAACTATCGTGTTGAATAAAATGATTTCAGAAATTGATTTAATATTTGGTTCGTGGAATCTATGAGATTTCTGTATTTTTCCTGAAGCTTGACAGTATTTATTGCGTGATAATTTTGGATATCTCCGCAGCACACTGTCAAGGATCCTAAGAATCAAAGCATATTCTGTACCAAGAGAACTCAGAGAAAAATATTCAGAGACCTGCCCAGTCTCCTGAATTGTAATGCCATTCTAGTCGTGGGGGTGCTGAGACAGTTGATGGAATGAAAGAGTGGCAGATTGTGAGATTAGCGTGGGATCAGAATTGCCAAGTGAAGTTAGTACATCTATGGTGTGAGGTGCTGAATCATTAGTGATGAACAAGTCAAGTGTGTTGGCTCCATACCACTTGTTGGAGTGTACGAGCCAAGCAGTGTTGTGTATATTTAAATCGTCCATGTTAATGATTTTGGATCAATTGGTGATGAGTAGAGGCAGAGAACAGAGAAATTTTGTATGTTTCTGGCTTTCAACCCTGAACCACATAACATCAAACTTATTTGACTCCAAAGTTTTTTCTCGATGACATGAGAGATTCGTTTACGAATAAAGGTATCAGAGGCCTTCCTTGAACTTGAATCGTATGTGGAGTTCGTAATTGACCTGTGTTCCAGCCCGAGTCAGTCAATATGTCTGTCTCTTCAATTTGGAGGTGTTGATGGACATCGTTTATGTTGTTAATTAGAACGCGGATGTTACATAGGTCTACCTTGAGAACTTCTTCAGCAGATGGTGAACCCCATCTAGCACCTCTCGCCCGGAAATCCACATAGAGAACCAAGGTTGCTGATATTGAGACTTTCTGTCATTTGCGATCATCTTTTGTTCCATGATGTTGGTGCCCCATATGTCAGGATGTCAGCCTGTCATGTCAATTGTTTGTTTTTTCATTCTTTGAATCAATTTCCTCCAGCCAACATGTGACTTGATGAATTTAGACAAAAAACTTAGTTTTTTCGATGTTTAACTTGTTTACGGCCAGATTCTCTGGGCTCTTCCGCCGTTTTGAACGGAACATTTTATTTACGTGACTTCTCGGCCTAATGATGTTTCTAATTTTGTAATTTTTTTTTATGATTCTAATGTGACTATTGTAAGTTTTTGTTCTATAGGGACAATTTCAATTTCCACAATCATGATGAATTTTAGGCACTGCACAGTCTGATGATGGCCGTCGTGCCGAAACGGGTCACTGTTTTTCAATCCTACTTTCATATAAAGTATATATACTGTACATCCATTGTATAACTATCAGGATATGAATTTCACAACTATTGGACATGAATTGGGCAACTACATCACACCTATTCGCTGTCGGCAAGGTCATTGGATGACATTTACTTCACAAATGTCAACATCATAATTGAACGATGGACAGTGGGAATAGTTCTTCATATTTAGTGAACAATCATACCAGTATCATACCAAATAACGGTAATTCTTTTTTCATCAAAGACAAACGCTACAAAAACAAGCTGACAAATGAGGGTAAGATGCTAACGAATTTGCAATAACACAAACTTCAGAGTAATTGCTCTTGTGTGACGTTGTACCTGCCACATATTTGAATATAAAACAACAAGTCCAGAACTTCGTTCATCAACATCCTTGCAATCATGAAGACATGTTGATGTTGAGGTACATAAATTTCTCAAACGTTTGGAATTTGGAACACAAGGACATTTTAATAACGCTCAGTTTGATTGATAGGTATTTCAATATATTTTCAAATCACTTGGTTTATGCAAGAATAGGATAGCTTGCCATCTTCTCTACCCCACAGCTGTGGTCTGTGTCACGGATGAGTCGAATGTAACCGGATTCTCCCCAATCAGCTCCCCAGGTGTTTTTGATAATCCAGTATTTTTGTCCATTCTCTATTCCGTAACCTACAACATTCACACCATGGTGAAGGTTGTCGCCCAAGCATGAACTATCGTCGAAAATTCCACCACCGTACGATTTCATTGGCTTTCCGAAGACAACGGCTGAGATTGGTCCAATAGTACCTTGAAGATAAAAAAATTATAAAATCACCATGCTATAATTTTGATATTCATCAAAGATTTCGTGTAGAATCAACAAGATTGAAATCGACCTGTCAGAGCGATTTTCAATTTTTTCAACGACATCAGAGATGAGGCAGTGACAAGTTTCAGCTGGGACACACTGTATATTGATGTTCTAGGTATCTATTTGTAGACTCCAATCGAGGCGAGTGTAGGAAGGTGGAAAGGAACGCCATCTAGTGGCGAAAATGCAACAAGATAATCAATCAAAATAATATTTGTTCGATAATATAATGTATATGTTGGTTCAGTTCAAGAAAATAATCTGTTTGAAATAACAACATATTTCTTGATAATGATGTTGAATCAACAAATTATGTTATTGTCACAATCAATTCAATTTTGTCGAATAGAAGAAAAGCATAATATAATTGATTGAACAATGAAATGAATGTTGAAACAACCCTGATAACACACTAATGTCCCATGGATATCCTTAGGACGTCCTGTCGGGACATTCAGGACGTCCATAGGACGTTCGAATTTGGTACCGTAGACGTTCATTGGACGTCTGTGGGACGCACAAATGTCCCACTTGAGGACCAACTAGGGACGTCCTTGAGGGACGCCCTGGGACGACTATCTAATACCTAAATCCTACAGTATTTCTCATCATGCACTACAGGATACATCCATAGGACAACCTATCAGCAACGCTGAGGGATGTCCCAGAGACGTACGAATTATTCTTGAATTTGAATTTTTCTGGGTCCCTCTAGGACCAGTTCTTGCATAACTGATTAGGACATCCAGTAGAGTTGATGGTCCGTAGAAGGTCTCCAAAAAGTTTCCCAAGGATGTCCAATGGACTTACGTGAAGGACATCGACGAGGAGTACTTATAGCCTACGAGCGATCATCCGTCGGCGAGGTGTTAGTTAACGTCATCGCAGGGACAACATATTGAAAGTACCGACTGGGACGTCCATAGGACGTTGTTTCTAGGACATTGGAAGAGTACAGTACATGTATCAATTGGGACATCCGACGGATATTTCTAAGGGACATTCGAAGGATGTCTCTAAGGAACATTTCGATTGTTATACGATCCTGGAAATATCAAAGGCGTCTGTGCAGAGATATTGGAAGGAATGTATTCCCCTTAGGGGACATTTCATGGTTGTTTAGAAGGGACATTATATAAGATCTGGAGTCATGCCAGAATTTGTACTACTCGGGACATCCGATGGATGTCCCCAAATGAACGTTCAAAATCATATCCCATCAGGGACATGCCAAGGACGTCCTTGCATGGACATTCTACAATATGTACCACGTGGGGCGTCTAAAGGGTTGCTATTTCTAAGGCATTTGAAATGATTTACCAGCTAGGACATCCCGTGGACGTCCTTGCTCGGACATTGTATGAGATGTACGGGATGGGACGTCCCAAGGACACTTATTTTTGGGTCGGGACATTCGGACGTGAATTGTACCAAATAGAGACGTCCCTAGGACGTTGTGTGCTATAAGGGAACAAAATATAATGTTGTCCTTCGTTGAATCTTGGTCAAAAATATTCTAATTTGACAATCCAATGAACAATGATCAGAGTTTTTTTCGAATCAAATATAAATATTGATGAACGAACCTTCACTCGAGTAAACAAGTATTTCAATCAAAATATTATGTCCTTTTGAATACGTTGCTTATTCGGAATAAATGTATATTTTGTTGATTTCCCAACAGTATTTGATAAAAAAAAATTGACCAAAATAATTTTGTTGGTGCAACAAATCTTGTTCTTTTGTGAACGCATCATGAGAGATTATGAGACTTCCAGATTATCTAGTTCGCTTTCGGTGCACCACTGGCCTGCAGTGCGGGGCGCCGTGCCGGACCGAGGCACGCGCGGGTTTGCCCGATTATTACAACGTATGCTCAAATTGAATTCGTATGCAAATAGCATCCAGTTATACAGAATAACCTAGATTATCGGAACAAAGATGTGCATAAGAACTTAAATCATCGATTATTTGAAAGATGTCTAGTCAATTGATGTTCGAATAAGTCGAGCTCCCCTCTCCGGAATCGTATGCAAATGTCGGGAAACTGATTAATGGGTCCGAATTTATTGTCTCGCGGAAGGGCATACATTCTCACATCATCGACTATGACACTGAAAAATTGCCACTTCCGGTTCGTATGCCGCCCTTGGGGAGTGACCTGGGCGTAGGCAAACCGGCAAGCGCCCCAATTTTCGTGAGATAAGATCATCATACTTCATAGCCGAGCTTCTTCTTGAACAAAATTCTGAACTTTTTTCCAACAGAAAAGTGAGGTGAGGGCCGGGGCAAGAACTAGGTTGCGACTCTCCGAGGCACTCTCCTACCTGTTAACTTGGACTAAGTGGGTGGGTCCCATATATGGCATACCAACTTAGAACATCGATAAACCCTGTGTCGCGGGCCAACAATCTATTTGTGTTTCATTTAGTATTCAATACTTGACTCCACTTTGAGGAACCATGGACTTCTACCAAAGATTATTTACTTTCCAAACATTCATCACTTACCAACAGCCTCTTTCAAGCTTGTCTCTGAAGCAGTGACCCTCTTGTATCCGATCAATTCGACTACGCTTCTGCTTTTATCGTTTGCTTTGCATTTGTCCTCTTTTCCTGAATACGGGTAATCAGCATCGCTCTCCAGACCATTATCTTTAACGTATTCGAATCCATTGACCGCGAAACCGCCATTACAACCATGGTTGCCGTAGCTCGTTGAGCAGTCGACCAGCTGCTGGGGACTTAGTGGAACCTTGGAACCGCTTTTGATTGCAGATTGGCTTTCGATGGCAGCCGCCTGGAAGTGAAATTGAGTTACCTACCTCAAGAGTCAAGATATTTTGTTTTGATTGTATCTTAGAAAATATTCACTGTAGATGAAGTTCTTTAATAATAATAATAATGATAATAATGAAATCTTCATTCCAGTAAGACCAATTTCACATTGTTTTGGAAAAGTCAGTTCATAAAATTTCGAAACATTACGTATATATACAGGATGATGCTCGGTGGATGGCCTATTAGAAGTATCTGGAGAACGAAGAGACAGAACATTTTGTAAATTGAGATGCATTGATAATTGAACATTCTCTATACGTCTCAATTATTTTCATCGATATAGTGTTGCCACTTCTATCAGAAACAACTAGCAACTTCGTTATTTGAAATGGAGCACCCTGTATTTTATTGCATTTTTATGTTCTTCCTAAAGAGCTGATTCCATCAATGCATCACACTTGGGGTCTAGCAGGAATGATGACAGAGATATAGGGTGTTCAAAATCGAGATTTTTTGAATTTAGGATTTTTTTGTGTTGAAACTCTCCATTATCGATCAGAACGGCTATCATGTCCCTATCTTGAATTTTGATTCACAATCTACTGACAATTGGGACAGATACAGGGGGATCAGAATTCTGAAGCACCCTGTATTTTTTTCAGTTAAATCTCAGTAGATAGTGAATCAAGAGTTAAGATAGGGATAACAAAGTTGCTAGTTGTTTCTGATAGAAGTGGCAACACTGTATCGATGAAAACATTTCAGACGGATAGAAAATGTTCAATTATCAAGGCATCCCAATTCTTAGGATGTTCTGTCTTTTTGTTCTCCATAAAATATACTTCTAATAGGCCATCCACCGTGGATCACCCTGTATATGTGAACATGATGTAAAGTGACATAAAAATGTTTGAACGAACATAATTTTGTGTAAAAACAGGGACATAAAATGAAACTACTAATAACAGCTAGTGAGCCGACCTAACACCTAATTTTTGGTTGAAATTATAAAACTTCAGGGATACTATAAAAACAATTTCATAACAAGAAGTTCTTGAGACCTTTCTTGAAACAATATATATTTTGTACGTTTTCCACATATTGTGATAGATTGTTGTACAGTTTTATACCAGCATAGGATGGAGATTTTTCATAAAATGATGTTCTACGATTTGGAATGCGTGACAGATTACCATGTCTTGTATAATAACTATGATCGTTAGAATTCCTAGAGGAGTCATTTAATTCAAGTTTTACACGTACAATTATAAATGTATATGCAAGGCAATGTTGGAATTTCATGTTCTTAGAAATATGGTTCACAAGATACCTCCTATGATGTTCAAAAATCAATCTCAATGTTCCTTTTGTAAATAAATAATCTGTTACATGATGACGACTTGCCCCAGATTATCATGTTGTATGTTAAGTGAGAATAAATCAGAGCATAATACATATTCAAAAGTTGATGTTGATCAAATGTGCCTTTGAGATCAAACATTGCATAATAATCACTATTATTCTCTTTACTGATATGATTAGTACAACTTGTATATTATTGCTGAATCACTGAATTAATGACTAAATAAATAAATAAATAAGTGGACTATCCAGAAACGTTAAACGTTCCGAGAAATCTTGTTGCTTTGAACAATGTCATGTTCAAATTTTTTTCAGACACCACTATCGAATTCTCAGTATTATTAGTGGAGTTATATTTCATCACTACAGTTTCAGTAGTGTTAAACATCGAGCGGTTCATTAGACACCAATTCGGTGAATTTATTATGAAGAATATTCAAGTTATTATATAGTTCCTTGGTAGAATTCGCATAGGACGCAAATGATACATCATCCGCATATAACACAATATACATTCAGTGTTCATATAAGTAGGTGAATCGTTGAAGAAAAACATAAAAATTAGCAGACCCTATACAGATCCCTAAGGAACTTCTAGATTCACTTCTGCCTCATTCGAGTGACATTCATTGATGACAACATCAATTCTTCTGTTTTTTAAATACGATATTCATAACACATTTCCTCTGAAACCTAATGAATGAAGTTTCATTTCCACAAAATCTCAATCTAAGCAATCGAGAGCTTCTTTGAGGTCGAAGAAAACTGCACCAACATCTTTTTCATTGTCGAGATGTTTATATGTGAATTCAACGAAGTCATAAACAGCACTTGTCATTTGAAAACATCTGGGATTGCTCTCGGATTATCATAAAAGAACTGGATAATTCGATGCCTCTATGTTTTGAACCTGAGCTGTGAATTGCTCACAAATTGAATTCTTGCATCATAGCAAGCGGTTTGAATCGATTTCATCAATGATTCTTTGAGACTGCTACGTACTGGTTATCTCTTTGCAAGCTCTAAACGCAGAAGAAATATTTTTTCCCTACCGGCATAGAAATTGGATTTTTTATGATGCTTGAGGTATTCTTTCTTTGTCTAAAGAAAAACATCTGTACAAAAGAAATTGAAAGTTGATGCTCTCTGTACGAATACACACACACATCATGAGTCGATCAAATCAGCTCAAACTACTTCTCGAAATGAAGAGATCATCTTCCCTGGTAGCCTAGATATTGGATTCTGCTCAACATGGAGGATAATGCGGATTAATTGAATAACCAGTGGTTCAGATCACTACACTAGAGGTCCTCCAAATCTACCAGATCTTCGCGTTTACATCCCATATCTTAATCCTCGAATATACTTACAGTACTCAATGCCCAGCAACTTCCACATTCTCCTTGATTTCTAACAGGAAGAACAACTCCCTTCGATCTCCAATCGATGGACTCTGGAGCAGCTCCTACTGTCAAATCGGCTACCTCCAGACCCTCCAAGTTAGGTCTTGAGGCCTCGTTTTTCATCAGCATGTCCCTGAATTCTTCGTCTGTGATGTCGGAGAACTTGTTGATGGCTAGGTAGTAGGTGGACTCGCCATTCTCGTATTTGACATTGTGTTCAGCGATTTGACGAAGGGTATCTTGGAAGATGTTGAAACGAAGCTTTTCTTCTCTCAGGCTCTTGTAGGTTTTTGCATGAGTTTTCTGTCAGAGACAAATATTTTATGATGTATATATAGTTCACATGAGGAATTCAAATCTATTGTGATATGCTGGCTCAAGATATTCTTTCAAACTGATAACAATCATATAATGTCGGCTAATTTTTGTCTTATGGAAATGGAAAGCAATTTAATTATATGCTTCCTGTACGACAAAAATGAATCCTCGGCAATATTTTTCATTTTCAATATTGATTCGGATGAATTGAATCCACAGTCGAGATTCCCAATACAGGGTTGTTTGGTCTTGATTTCCAGATTGTTCCACTCCGATTCACAATGGATCATTCTCAATCTGAATATTTCCATTTCGAATTGAAAGACAATGATTATCGAATCGAAAATGCAATGATAATATGGATTGATAGACCTTATTGGGTTTTGGGTTTAACCGAATCTATAGATGAAGATATTTGTTGCTGACAAATCAGGAAGCCATTTCGATAGATTTGATTGTAAATATAATGTAATAAATATAAAATGATTTCTCTCTAGACCGCAAGTTTTTTTATCGCTTGGAGCGCACGAAAGGGAATCCCTATAATGTTCAAAGAACATCGTGCGTTCCTAGAACATCGTGCGTTCCTAGAACATCGTGCGTTCCTAAATATTTTTATAAAACTCCGGAAGTGGAAGAATTATATAGTGAAAATCCTATTCAATTCGAATATGGTCAAACTAGCTGTATAATTTCACATGACAGGCTATGGAATCTTGTTATATTCAGATCAGATTTAGAGAGGGGCCTTCGGGCTTTCTACCTTCACACCGCTACCTTCTCAGATCTATTGTGTCTGCCCTCGAAATCGTTCAGAGTTCTTTGGCTAGCCCCGTCTTCTCTATGAGACTACATAGGCTAGCTTTCAGATCTCTTGTGTAACTTTGGGCTCTTGGATTTTCCTCAAGCAGGTCTGAGTCTCCAGGTAACCAGATGACGAATGATCACGTCACTGTGACGTCCCTAATTGGTGATTTTTCGTCAGAGACGTCACACACCCATTTATGACGTCACTATGACGTACTTTCTATGACGTGATAATCACGTCACCGTTTCGACGTCTAGTGAACGTCACTTAGATGGGTTAAAGAAGACGTCAGTTTCATGACGTTGCAGGGACGTTCTGTCGACGTCCATTTTTCCCAGACCTCCTCTAACCCATGGATACTTATATATTATTATGTGAAACAGAGGTACAAGTCATGAGAGCGAATCAACATGCAAGTTTCATTCTAATCATTTATATACCCAGAGAGTAGTAGAAAAACTTTCCTGGATATATAAAAATGATTGTTCAGGTATACCTATATTGAAACCGTTACTCTCATGACGTTGCAGTGCCGTATCTATGACGTCTAAAAATCACGTCCCTACGACGTACCACTTTGGTGAGCTTCGTCATTTAGGAAATTTCTCAATTATTCACTATTCAGATTTTTGTTGAATGACGAAGAATGCATCAATATACATTATTCAACAAAGTGAAGTCAAATTCGCCAATATCCATTCCATTGCTATCAAACTATTATTTGTTTGCTTACATCTCGCCGACACAAACTACATAATTTTTTATACAAATACGAGTAACTGATTGAATTCTGATGGAGATGCGTACCGAAGGATGGCGCTGCTGAATAGGCGATTGACTGAACAAGACACAGGAAGAACCCACCAAGCAGAATCAACAATGCATGCATAATCAATATTATATAATGTCATCAGAGGCTATTGGTGTTAATCACACCATGTTGAAGGAATCTTTTTTACAAATCATCGCCAAATTCAATCGTCATTTTGACAACATTGTGACGTCAGTCGGACGTCACAGTTTGGTGAGTGAATGACGTCAATACGACGTGAGTTATATGACCTCATTGGGCTGTGACTTATTCACGTCATTATTACGTCAATGCGACGTCAACTACTGACGTCATCTTGGTCATTCAAATGACGTGAAAAAGACGTCACTGGAACGTCATCTGGTGTGTTCCGCTGGTGTGTCCGCACGTTTGCGTATAAGTTATTTATTTAATATTTTTGACCTGTTTGAGCAAGTCGAGGCTGGTTTTGAAGCAGTGGGCAATTCGTATGCAGTATGCACAAAAACACGTTTAGTAGAGCTCGAAATGAGTGATGGATGGTATCGCGGCCTATACAGAAATCACTAAATAAGTTATACTTGCGAAATAAATATCAATTGGATAGATACAGGATAATTTTGATTCGTATTTTTCTTTTGGTTAGGTTTATAGAGTCTGTTTTGTTTCTTCAAAATGAGATTTTCTTTGAAGGTAATGAAAGCTTTCTTGATAATTTTTTTCATTCAATTTTTATTTCATTGTTTGATTTCGACCATGAAATACATAAATCAATTTACTTGTGATGATTAAAACATAAATAATAGCTTAAATGATAAAATTCGACGCTTCACTGCGGATGACGTCTATTAGCGCAGCACTGAGATTATACACAAGGCAAAAATTCATAAAAATCATGAAGCACATAATATACGTAATTTTCATTAGAATCTCTTCCAATTATATAATATGTCACAGGCCAGATTTTCATATATCTGTGATTATCTTCTTCGTATGATTTTGAACCAATCAGAACGTTCAATTGAGTTGAGCCACCTCGTATAATTTCGTATATGGGTTGCGTGCAAGATCTGTCAGATGACCCATCCTGGAGGTAAAACATTAGAAACCAACCTCACTTTTCTTATTCGTTCATAAAGGATTGCAATAGTTTTTCACAATTATTTTGATATACAAATCGTGGTTTTCTGCTATTCATTGATACACTCATGCAATCACATTGTGCTGTTGTACAAAGCACAAAAATGTGGCAAGAGACGAAGGGATAATGATTTTTCAGGTGAGGTACCTTGTGATCTATATAGTCACTTTTTCGTGAAAAAATGAGAACAGTGAGGTTTTGTTTCAATGTTCTACAGAAAAATGAGTTTGTGTTTCAATGTTTCACCTCTAGGGTCGGTCATCGTGCACGCAACCTATACGTGGATATACAGTGTGTCCCACTCACCATGCTCACCATGGGTATCTTTTTAACGGTGAGAGATACGAGGTCGGTTGAATGACACCAAATGTGGAGTTTGTCAAGGCCAACTATAATGTGAAAAAATATTTTGATAAAATCTATTCGTTTTTGTTTTATACACAAGAAACAGATTTTGTTAATTTTCATGTCTTCTCCGTAACTTCTTTATTTATGAAAATATTCAAATAGGAATTTCACATCCTCATGGCAGTTTTTCAAAGTGATTCTGAGAAAAATATGGAATTTATACCAACTCTTCTAGAATTCCAGATATCAGCACCAACTTTAGTTTTCCAAATGTAGGTCATAGCTCACTATGACTTAGTTACAAATAACTTTTTTTTCTCCTACAGATGATATGTCGCAGTAATAGTTTTGTGTTGATTACAACTCCGATTAACTTGAAATTTGGCAGGTGTTCATAATTTCGGTGACACTACATCATGGAATTTTTGTTGAAATTGAAAAACATGGCTGCTTCAAGATGGCGACCAAGATTCGGTTCGATTCCATTCAAAATTGGTAAGTGGGGGTTTCTGAGGTCGGAGATCATGATTTTTTTTGTTGAAATTCATAAATTCAAGATGGCGGCTTCCAAATAATCTCTTGTTTTTGTATAAATGACGATAACTCCATTGTTATCAACACAAAACTATTACTGTGACATATCATCTGTAAGAGAAAAAAGAGTTATTTGTAACTAAGTCATAGTGAGCTATGACCTACATTTGAAAAACTAAAGTTGGTGCTGATATCTCAAATTCTAGAAGAGTTGGTATATTCATATTTTTTTCGAAATCACTTTGGAAAACTGCCATGAGAATGTGGAATTCCTATTCGAATATTTTCATAAATAAAGAATTTACGATGGAGACATGAAAATGATCAAAATCTGTTTTTTGCGTATAGAACAAAAACGAATAGATTTTATCAAAATATTTTTTCACATTATAGTTGGCCTTGACAAACTCCACATTTGGTGTCATTTAACCGACCTCGTATCTCTCACCGTTAAAAAGATACCCATGGTGAGCATGGTAAGTGGGACACACTGTATATAGAGTTATTCCATCAATCATAAATGCAGAACTATGTCCATTTCCATTGTTACCAATTGATATTGTTACATACAAACAAAGCGCGTCGTATAATTTTGACGATCGTTCCGTACTACTTCAAAATTTTCAAGGATATATACATATCACACTTCCTGCAAACTTTCAAATCATGTTACTTCAACAGAATATTCCAACTGTTAAACTGACCTCTTTGTATTATTATATCATTTCTACGATGTTGTGTGATGTCAAAATATATTGGGTTGTGGTGAAAGTTTGCCCATTCCGAGAGTTATTCAGGTAACATTTCTGAATATTCAATATACCTATGATATTGATGAGCAATATCATTCACGAACAAAATACATAATGTAAGTATGAAACTCGTGGTTTTTGCATTGAAAAAACATATACAGTGAGAACGTGAAAAGTCCCCTATAACTTTTGAACAGAACAAGCTAGCGACCTTGCCAGCTGTCCTGATAAAAGTTAATGAGGATTTAAGGAGTTTTCACGTCCTCATTGTACGTTAATCTCGGCGGAAATATAGGGACGAGGTACAATAGGATCTAGTTATTTCTTTATGGCACTCCAATCACGAAATTCACCGAAAATAATACCGTGGAGGGAGACAATTAATATAAACGAACTAAGAAGAGTAAGTATCAAATGCGCATTGTGTTTTTGTATTAAGGTGGGTGAAAATAGTTATTCTCATTGAAAATAAGGAATACATGTATTAGCCGTGAATGAAGTAGAGTATAATATATATTTCCCGCGGCTCGATTCGTGAATGTTTCAGTAAAATAATTGCTATCATTATTGACTCGTGGTATAATCTATGACATCTATATACAGTCAACCATAATCGACTAAAACTCTCAGGCCGAAATTATTGAGTATTCACCCGAAAGGATTCACTTTCGGAAGTGTTTTCTGTTTTTTTTTCAATTCTGAAAATGATTCTCTCACCTTGAAATCAGCCCACAACTCCTGATCAGATGCAGCGTTGATAACAACGATGAGGGCAGCTAAAGCGATGATAAGTTTCATTCTGATATTTCTGTAAGAGAATCACAATTAGAAAAAATTACCCCCTTCTCAAATTCTACCAAGAACATGGGAAAATGACATAGAAACGTTTGATGGAGTTGATAGAAGAAATGCACTCACCTTATTGAATAAGAAAAATAACTTTATGACGCTGGTTTCAGCAAAATATTGGGTATTTATAGTATGTGTCAGAATCTAGGCAAAGATCAAATTTCAAATGCCCACTCGTGGACATAGTAACACGTTTTAGAAAACTGGTTCATTGTTTTATCATATCCACTGATTTTATCAACATAATCTATCAATAACCTAATGAGATTGATATTATTAGAGTGAGTAGGTATTCCATTTGAGTTGTTAATTGTTTTAGTTTCCATAAATGAAAATCGGTTCGAAGGTTCACACTGATCACGGTAATTCGTACTGATACCTACCACCAGAGAGAGAGAGAGAGAGATGGATTAGTATTGGTTACTGTGGATGGTGACAGATGCGCTGCGACCAGATCAGATCTATTGTGCCCCATCTTTTTCTCCTATTTCAAGGTTTTTTTTTGTTTTTAGCAGCCCATCAAGCTTCAATTCCTATAGGAATCTGAAGATTTTGAGGAAACCTGTTTGTGGTATCACTTTCACGATCATCTGGTATGCTCCCAGTATGTTCGATCTCTTGTAGTGTACACTGTACAGCAACACACTCCAGCATGATGTGGTGATGTGTTTCAGGATCCCAGACAGCACCAGATATTCCATGAATCTCCCTATCATATTCCTTTTGGAATATTTGAATATTCTAGAAATAATCTGGAATATTCCGGAATATCTGTGGAATATTCTCTAAATATGTGAATGGGAATTCCTCAGATATTCATTGAATATATCCAAAAGAATATTCTATGTTGAATGTTCCTGGAATATTCCAATGAACATATTCTAAAATGAAAAAAAAAATGACCCAAGTAGGGATCGAACTCGTGACCTCAAGACTATCAGAGCAACGCCTTGACCACTAGGCCAGTAATCGAATTGAATAATGTTGTATGTACATATCAATTCATTGTGAGATCGTTGTTCGAAATCGAATCATAAACACTTTCTGTTTCAAAATCCCCTTACATCTAATCGATGTTCGATACTCACATCTCTGAAATAATGATTGGTATTCATGTGTTGAGAAACATAGGAATATTCATGGAATATTTCATGAATATACACCACAGAATATTCAGTTGAGAATATTTCATGAATATACACCACAGAATATTCAGTTGAGAATATTTCATGAATATACCCCACAGAATATTCAGTTGAGAACATTTCATGAATATACAACAGAGAATATTCAGTTGGGAATATTCCTGGAAAATTCATACCTGAATATTCCCTGGAAATATCCGACTATATTCACTTTGGAATATTCCTTTTAGATGTTCCAGAGGCATGTATATATTCTAGGAATAATCGATGAATATTCGGAATATACTCCTCCTTTTTAGCATATTTAGAGAATATTCTAGGAATATCCAGTGCTGTCTAGGATGTTCCTTGCAGAATCTTGAGGTCCTGCCCTTCTCTGAGCCAAGCTTCCTTAGGTGTTCTTTGAGTCCACAATGCCCCGTCAGGAATCTCGTGATTGGTTTGAGACTCATTTTGCTGAGATGGATCAGTGTATTCGATCTTGTTCGCTTGAAATTGCCGAGAAGATCTTTGTTTTGCCGGAGTCCCGGAAGTCTTCGCCAATGTGTTACGCTCATTGCTTCTTCGACTTTGAAGTTCTTCTTGGAAATAGGGATTTCCAAGGCCGCAGAATAGTTCTGGTTCGATCAGTGGCGTTGATGATTCTTCTCGAGCCAGGATTTCTGCTTGTTCATTTTTCTTCACTTGGATCTGCCCTCTGGCACCCAGAGGAGGATTACCTTATTGTTACTGCCTAAATTGTTAAGTTTTTTCAGGCATTCCCAAACCAAACCTGGCAGATTGGTTCGGAATATTCAGTGCGAGGCCCAAACACTCCTGCTGATGGGACAAAAATACATAAAATTCAATTTCATCTCGATATAAGGAGAAAAACTCTACCGAAGTATACAATTGACGACCGCACATTGATGACTTGATGAAAACAGGGTTAAAACATACACTATGTGCAATTTCAATTTGCATCGCCTTCCTAATTCAGAATGAATTGAACAATATTCAGAATCAAAAATTCAATAACATAACAGGTACTCAACGAGGTCTCTCCGAAGATGTGATAACAAATCTGAAATATTCAGATCCTCAACCAACTTTGATTCGTTGAGTGTGTCAAAATTTGCAAAACGACTACTAGGCAATCTATTTTGGAAAAAGTGGGTAGCTCATTCGTTGTATGCATCTGATATACTCCTATATATACAGAATTCAAATGCGATTAATATACCTCATATTATATGGTGCTTATAGTTTCAGAATTCCTGATATTTCGATTCACTATGTTATAAAATGTCAGTAGTTGATGTGACCAGTGAATCGGTAATTGACCAATGAAGAGAGACAAATAAAAGAATCGGATACGCGGAGTTTTGTCGGGGGTAATACCACAAGAGCTCAGATTTAGCCGGATATTTTTTGTGGTTGTTTTCGAATACTTACTTTCATTGGCAATATAACGAGAGCTGTTCTGACAAAATCACGAGAGCGTAGCTCGAGTGAATTTGTCCGAATAGATCGAGTTAAATTACCTATATGAAAGTAAGTATGAGAAAACCACCGTAAAAAATATCCTGCTAGATCTGAGCTCGCGTGGTATTTGGTGAGACAATTCCATGAATAGAAAACTCAATTCAATTAAACTTTATTTAACCAACTAAAAGAACAACAAGTAAAAGAAAAATGTTTAGAAAGAACAGTTGTTAAAAACACAATTATTATATACGATTGGTTCAGTAGACATTTGCTCCTTTACTGATGTAGATTTTGTGTTTGACATTGACATGGATGTGGACACTATGGCTGATTCATTATCCAAAGCTTTATTCCGAAGATTTGTTACAAGATGCGAATGATGCTCATTATCAAGTTGTAAATAAGGCTTTATGGACTTGGAAGAGGAATGTCCAGCTATTTTTATCAATTCTTGTTCATTGATACCTGCTTTAGCTAGAGTTGACACGGCGCTTGAGCTATGAGAATTATTAGAAATTTTTTTATTCTTTGTATCCAGTCCAATTTTTTCAGCTGAAATTTTCGTCCACTTGAGAATTTCGTTGACTCCTATAGGAACATTTTTGTACCAACTTTTCGGTGAATTACTTTTCCAAAACGGATTGGGGGTTATAAATAATCTATCAGTTGTAATATGGTTCGGTCTATGTGATAATATTTTATAAAACAATGTTACTGGGCATATGCTTGGGTTTTCTATGTTTTTTATTAGCCATTTACTGTCGCAGCATTTGTTTGAGCCGCCCTGACATGTTTTGGAAAAAACTGTATTATATTCAATGCGGCCAGTAAAATCACCATAGTGTACTACACATTTTGCAGCTTCACCTCCTCGCCAAGCTAATTCATATGCAGCGATATGAAAAAATCTTTTTAAAAGACCTATAGGACTATTTTCATCCCATATCAATGCCATTTTAACAATTTCACTTTTAGTCAAGGCTGTTGAACTATTTTTACGTTTTTCTCAATTACCTTGTAAGTTCTTTCGCTTAGAATTACGTGCATCACGGGATTTCTGGAATGCCAAATCAGTGAAAGGATTGAAAATAACATTAAATTTTTCGAAAAACATGCTTTGCAACATCTTCGCTGTTGTGTTCCACATTGTTTTCACCACGTATTCTTTATAATCTTCCCCATTCTCTTTCTTCATATTAAAGCCCCAGTCCATAAATATTCCTGCCACATTTTCCACTGACTGTTCGGTTTCCAAATTGAAGTTTCGTTGTTTACAAAATTCGCTGAATTGATTCCAAATGGAGGATTGACTTTTTTTTGTATTTTCTGGAGTTGATTTTTCAATCTCCCTCACTATTTCTGCCTCGCAAATGTTTCCAAATCTCGACATACTCACTGGAATATTATTTGCTGATTAATTCTGTTTTTGACATTTACAATTGTCAAACTGATGCGACGCGCAATAACGCTTGATTACGCTTGATGAACGAACAGTAAATACTAGCGTTGCTACGGTAACGTGATTTATCCGATTTTTTTATCCACTTGCATTTCTGTTCCTTCATATTTAGCCGATAGCAAACTACGATTTTTGTACTCGCAAATGGAAATTATTATACATGAAAGGAATTGTCGTTGAAACGTCAGTAATCAACCTGAATTCAATGAAACTGAAGCTGAGGTTCACTATTTTGAATACTCAATAATTTTTCAGTCGACCTCTACTAAGAATCACGATTGACATTATAATCTCCGAACGAAACACCGACTTTTTCCGAAAACAAGTACTTTTCGTCCACAGACACTTTCTGTTTGCTACAGTGTTGCAAGTTCTATATACTGAACTTTCAATATATCTCCTGATTAGCATATTGATCTATACTAATCTACTGAAACACTTTATTTTATTGCTAGGTGTGCATGGAAGGAAATCCCCATAATGGTCGAAGAACATCGTGTGTACCTAAGAAGGATAGGGAGAGGAGGTAGGTATGGGTTATTTTTTTGAACTTTTGAAGATTATAAGTTCTTGGAAATACATCCTCAGGCAATGAATTCCAGAGCTCAACCATTCTATAGGGAAACGAGTTTTGATAAAGTTCTGTTCGACATTTTCCGAGGTTGACAACGAAAAGATGTGCTGACTGCGCTTATTGAGTTCGTCTGGCTGGTAATGCTAGTCGTGGAATGATAGCAGAGGATTCTGAAGAACATTTCCCGTGCATGTAAGTATTTATAAAGAAGTGAAAGGTTGCCGGCCTTCCGATGGTGTCAAAGTGTTAGTGAGTGTGGCATCACCCACTCTTCTCTGGATGGAACCGAATAACATCAAAGTATGTCTGGGTGCGGAACCTCATATTATGTGAGAAGAGTATACTAGAACAGGTCGTATCTGTGGTTTTTAAATCATGAGAAGCTGTTGAGGTGTGAAGTAGCTTCTCGCAAGGAATACAAATCCGAGTTTTTGTGGAGCAGCTTTCGCGATGC